TTTTGTTTATTTAAAGTGAAAATAACCACGACAAATGACTCATCAATATCAATGTGTATATAGATAAAGAACCGGAAAATCATCGTGTTTATTAAAGGTTAATATACGTAATTATAACGTCTACGTATATATAATATATATAGAAAATTGGAAAGATGAACTGCACTCTCGTATGCTTCGCTGTTCTTCTAAATCTTATATTGTGTAAAAAAAGTGTTGTTTGCAATGGGACAAGAGTAAATCGACGATCTTAATTATACTTGATGACTGGTTTCTGTACTTTCCCGCCTAAACGCTTTGACATTTTATGCAATTAGCGAACCCACGGAAACCAACGCACTTCAAAGGGCCTTTTTTCGGAGCACAGCGGTAAAGGATACGGCGTGACATAGGAAGAACGAGCAGAAGGGAAACGGCTCGTCTGGAAAATAACGTATCCTTCCCATTTGGCTGAATAATTGGGTCCCGCACTTTCTCAGTGTAGGCGTCCTCATCCTTTCTATCTTCCTTTCGTCCTCTCGCCCTTCCTCACCCGACTTCACCAACCTCGCTCGAAAGACTCTCACTTTAATGCACTTATTGTTAATGCGATTCCGCCGGGTTTTCCGCCTGATGGTTACCTACCTTTCGTTGACAACGCAACATCGTTTACTCCGTCGTTGCAGCGACGTATGTATATCTACGTGCCTTTTTCATCTCTATCCATTCCAGGTCCACACACGCCAGAAAAATTGGATTTGGAATGTCGAGAGTTCAGATATTCAAGAGAAAATTCTCAAACCGCAAGAAATTGCGCCACACCCAGATTTTTTATTTTTGCATAGATAATATTCTCTAATCCTGTAATTATATACATATAAACTCTGATTATTTTTCTTAAATAATTAAAGTGGTGTAAAGTATTATATTAAAGAATTAATACACTCTCGCCAAACTAACGAATGTATATGAAAAATTTACAAAAATTGGATTGCAAACTGATAGGTATGTTCTCTATCTTTTTAAACAAATTTGTTTACGTTTTAAAAAATTTTAATTTTGTTCTTTATTCTTTTCCGTCCTGTGATTGCTTTTTCTATAATGTTATAGAAGAGGAAAAGAAACTTGTACATGTTGCATGGTGAATTATACTTTGAATAAAATTACTCTTAACTTTCTTTATCTCAGAGATTCACGTGGCACGTCGTTGCAGTCGACAAAATCCTAATAAAAATCATAATGTTTTATGCGAGACAAAACCGACGATTGCCAATAATGGGGAAAGCCCGAGAACAAAGGCTCTCGTCGGAGCGAAATAACAACGACCAAGGTTTTCCCTCAGCCATTCATTTTCCATTTTATAGCCAGCCGCAACGGTAAACGCGCGCGTGCCTGCGAAATCCGAACCGCATAAAAGCACTCCATTCAGTCTATAATGCGCTGTCATGGTCCACGCCACCGCGGATTCAGCTGCATTGACGGAACCTTTTTTTTTTAGCGGAACTTCGGGGCGCAGTGGAATAAAAAAATGCGTACCCGACGATAGGTGTAAAATATGTAGCAGCCACGTCGTCGGAACAGAAACGAATAAAACGGCAGCACCGACGAGATCCGGTGTAAAATCGTTGGTCGACGCGCGCTTAGTGACAGATAATGCGGGTATTATACGAAACGGACGATGCTCGCCATCGATCCCGATCTGCATCGCGCGTGATTGCGTTAATCGGCTTAACGATCGCCTGCACGCCGGCCAAACAAATTGCCCGTAAGCGACGTTTCCTCGTACACCCTGCATATAGTCCTGTACGTCCCGACTCGACGCGACGTCACCGCGATACTGACACAGCGAAAGAGGATTTTCGTTCAGAGCTGTGTAGGAAACTTGTATACACGATTCATCATAATGCAAGTGATGCATCTTAATCTAGCGTGTCTTTTGTATATTTTCCGATCGTTTGATTGTTGCAGTCTAAGATATAGAGTATGGACTGCGCCATCCATATTTAAATATATCAACTGTGGTCAACAAAAATGAGAGAAAAAGAGAGAGAGAGAGATATATAAAGAGAAGTAGCATGAAGATGGTCAATCTCCTTCTCTTTCTAAAAAATTATAATTAGTTGAATAGAATGAAAGAGACACTAGCCGTTGTTATCTCCATTATTTTTGTCGATCAACTTTATGCACGAATGGCATCCATGTTCTATGTCCTTGATCGCACTAGATTCTTTACAATTGAATACTTAGCCAATTTTTTTTAAATCAATTAACAGTTTTACAGCAATACGTATTAGTAACAAGAAAATTCAATCTTTTTGTTTTAATTTTTCTGTAAAATTAAAATTAGTGTAATTAAATATTATTTCGTAAAAAGTTCATTAAAATTAAAATTTATATATATATTGAAAATTAAATGACATATTTACGACATTTGCGTAAAATGTTATGCAATTGTTATTCTGTAAATAATGTTCTGTAAAAATTTCTTTTAATACATTTTAATTAATATTGTAAAGATTTATTAATTAATTATCAACATACTTTCTTTTAAGAGAGAAATATTATAAAATGCATTTTCGAAATTATATGTATATTTTAATATTAATACATTAAATTAATACATTAAATTTTGCAAAACTGTACTTATATTATCCAAATTATATTTCCTTGTATATAAGGAAATAATGTTTGCGTAATTGGACTAATACCAAACTCGAAACTTGGAGTGTTAGTTGTAAAACTCATTAGCACGGGATGTCAACTAATTTTGATAGAATTTCTTGTCAAGCGATTTGCTAAACGGCTCTCATGATTTATGTCAAAAGATTTGTATCAAACGTTTTCAACAAGATGTCACTTCGATAAATATAATTAACAATAATTAACTGCTATTATAATGGAATTATAAAAATTGATTGGATTAAATTGTTTGGATTTTGATTAATTGTATGAATCTTGTTTTCTTAATTTTATATAACTTTTTAGTTCGATTTTAAAGAAATAAGAAAATTGAATAAAACTAAAATAATATTAGAATTAGAACAGCTAGAATAATTGCTTTTTATTGAAACTAAGAGCACTCGAATTTTTGATCTCTGAATCGTCACAATATTAAATATTACATTTTCTATAAATTGTTATGTTTTTATATTGCATTTTTATCACAAATAAACTCAAGTAATAAATAACAAATTTTTTTATTTTAAGAACATTTAATAGTTTATCACTATAATATGATCATGGTAACAATTATATAATTTTTTCTCTAGGGCAGAAACGTAAAAAATGGAAAATTTTCCATTACCTACAATAATAAAAATTTTCATTTCTCACATTTCATGAAAAAAGTTATATAATCACTATCCAGAATCTCTCTCTCACATAAAAATAGAAAAAAACCACTATATTAAATTATATTTATAAATTCATTTTATTTTCAGAAATAATTAAATTTAAAACTTTTATATTCTCGATTCTGTATTATCAAGCGTACTGTTAGATGATCCTAACATTCTTGACAGATGCTAAGACATTTTGGTAAATTAGACCAGTAGCAAGGGTAGTAACTGGATCCTTTATTCGTGTATTGGATGCAAAATTGAACGCAGGAGGATGGTGGCACTATTTTTGGTGCTGACGGACGACAGTATGATTTTGAATATAATCGTTGTGGACAAGGTCCAGCGATACATATAGTAGGTGGTTTTGGCGGCGGCTCTGGTCTTGGTCTACACATCTTTAAAAATAAATTCTGATATTGTAAAGAATATCGTTATAATTTCTTTATATCTACTTATGTGTATAATGCATCCTTTTTTATTCCATTAAAAGCAAAATAAGTCGTATTGATATTATCATAAAAATTGTAAAATAAAAGTTATTTGCGTCGATTTTACTTGCATTATATTAATTAAATTTTATTTATTTAATATTTGTCCTTAAATTTTAAGGCATTTGTATAAATTATATAAAATTCACGATTTCAATATCTTTAAAAAATCAATGTTATTTATACCAATGGTGGGCACGAAGGTGGGTAATGACAATATTTAGGAAGTCTTGGTTTTGAGAATAAACAGTCATTGCTTATACAACAAAATTGTTTGCGATGATAACACGGTGGAGGCATTGAACTTATTCGTTTCTTCTCTTTGTGAGCAATGACACAAGACATTTTTATTTTTTACTTGAAAAATTTAGACGTTACATTTCATCAAAATTTCTAAATATCTAATATTTCTGTCAAATCGATTAACAATCTTTTGTTTGAGAAAATCGATGTATTCCTTTTCATAATATATACTCTGTGTAAAATTGATTTTTTAAATATAATTTTAAAATACTTTTTAGAATTTTTTAAATTAAAATTTTTTTATACTCTTAAATTAATTACGTTCAAATACTTTTTATATGCTTTTTTTCAATCTTTTCTAGATAATAATAAATTTTTTACCTCTAATATAATTATTAATTGATAATTATTTATGATTATTTTGACATGTTAAAACTGGTTTTCCAGTACAGTCAAACCACTTGAAACAACAGCATGTTACTTTCTTCGGTTCTTTTTCAGAAAAACGACAGCGTGGAATAGCAGGAAAATAACAAGGCGAATAAGAGATTCTATAAAGAAGTAAATATGAAAATCGTTATAGATACTTTAAAATATTTCAATTTTATATTATTTTGCATAACCTTAGTTTATTTTTAAATATTATCTAAAGCAAAATTGTTAAAACTTTAATGCAGCTATCAATCTATTCGCTTAATATAAAATGTATAAGAATCATTTTGTGTAACATACCTGTCACAAGTATATGTAAGCTGAAATTGAACGGCAGACCCATAAGGACGCGGTGATACGTCAAATAAATATTTCGGGCATACATTACAGCGTAATTCTGGAGGAGAACATCGCGAAGGAATACTAGGTGGAAATTTTGCAATAACGTCCTCAAGACTCGACATGATAATTTTAATCGTAATATGTTGCACTTTTCTACAATCTAATTATTTTTTGAAAAACATATTAATTTTAATTGGACAAATATCATATGTCAATGTCAATTTATATTACAGCTTGTGATTTTGTATTATCATGAATTTGGCGAGATTGCATATTATGTGATAAATTAATAATATCCCAATAATTTATTTTCAACATAAAAAAAAGACTGTTTAATTAAACATAAAAAAATGATATCATATATGACTTTCTTATATATATATATATATATATATATATATATATATATATATATATACACAGGGTGTCTCGTAAGATGGATCGGGGTCACATTGGGGGTGGAGAATGGATCAAAGGGAACAAACAATTCTTATACCATTTTGAGATACTTGCTAGTTTTCGAATTAGAAAAGGAAACGTCTAAGCCAATATACGATTAAGCTGCGCCGATTCGTAGGACGGCCCACACTCGAACTGCAGCAGCGGCGATGCGCAGGGAGGGGAAAGAAGCGCTCGTTGCCTGGCACGGCCTGGCATAGTGGTCCTATGTGATTCGCTTCTTTCCCCTCCTTGCGCACCGCCGGCGCTGCCGCTCGAGTGTGGGCCGTCCTACGAATTCGCGCGGCGCGACTGTATATTGGCTTAGACATTTCCTTTTCTGATTCGAAAACTATAGCAAGTATCTCAAAATGGTATAAGAATTTTTTGTTCCCTTTGATCCATTCTCCGCCCCCAATGTGGCCTCGACCCATCTTACGAGATACCCTGTATATATCACTATCTGTTAAAAGCTATACTTAAAATATATATGCTATATTAGTCTCTGTATTTTAGTGTATTATAATTAATGCTGTCAGTAATAATAATTTATATTATCAAATTGCTTAACAAAGTGTATTTTACAAAACGTAATCTTTTAAGTTTTATGTTTTAAGGAGAAACAGCATTAAAAACTAAAAATATCTTAAACATGAAGCATTAAATAAATATTGATATTTGTATAATTCGAAAGAAAAAAGTCATCTCTTCTTTATCTCTTGCGTAATCAATAGAAAGATAAAGTATGTTGAGGAAATTGATGAGATTGACACCTCTCGTTAGAAAAGTGCATATTTTGTGAAAAAAAGGAAACAAAAGGCATGTTCATAATCACAACAGATATTATATAATAAACCGTATTTTTACAGTGGCAGATACAATGTAAAATGAACAAGGATACCTTTACGAAATATACACGCATTAAGTCGTATGTTGATCCAGGAATCGACCGGCGATACTATGTACAACACAACCACGTAAGCGTGCGCGATGTACCATCCAGCTGGCAGGCAACGCGGTTGCACTTTTGAATTTGGCACGCGATGCATCTATTCGCCTATATCCTTGTCCCGGCGTCTCTCTCTAAGTACGTGTACGTGTATATGTATATGTATATGTATATGTGTTTATGCCACTGTTGTCCGCTTGTCTAAATGCACTCGCCTTCAGTCAAACGAGACACCGGAACGCGTCTTGGCTGATCTCCCAACTTCCCAGAAATGGGAAGAAAAAGACGTCTTAGACATTGAAACTCGTTGATCGCTTCGATTAAAAAGTTACAAAAAAAAATTCAACCTCCGAATAAATTATAGACGTCGTTGATGTAGAGACTAGCCAAGACGCCGCTATCGCTCCTCCTCGATCCTAGTCAAATGAACCGTGTAAGTTAGCGTACATCGACTAAGAAACGTAAAGGGAAAACAATAAGTACATAAACGTGATAATGTTACAACGAATTATGTTGTATTATATATATGTACACGTTTTCTTCTCATACACTTCCTCGAGAAATGTACGGGGAAAATAATTGGAGAAACGGAAGAAATGTCAGTCCAAAGAAAATAAAAAAACAATAAAAGGTATAAAGAGATGAATAAAGGAGAAGACATCGACAACATGCGTCGATTAGCAACGATCTCGCTAACAACGATCTACGTGTGTTAATATTTAAGTACATTGATTAAACGACATTTTTTCATAAGTACCACAATAAGTACCTAAGCGATCGTTTCCTTATGTGCTGCTTTACAATTATTCGTTTAACTTCCTCTTCGCTTAACTTTGTTCCTCCTTGTTACCTTTTGATTTTCGGGACGGACGGAAGGTGGCTCGAAAAACCAAGTCCATTTTCGCCGAACAACTCGCAATGAAGACGGCGATTTTTCTTATCGTAGAAATCGTATCGTTCGATTTACAATTGCCAATAATAATTTCTCGATTATCCAATTTAGTCAATTACAATCGAAGCAATAATACTTTAACACTTTATCTGTGTGGAAAAATAGTAATATATGCTTCGATATTTAGCATGACTAAATAAATTACGTTCGATGCGAATTAACGACATCAAAAATCGCGCGATCAAACCAATGCTGCATAAATAAATTTGTAGTATTGCAGAAATATTTGAACATATATTTACGTATTCATTTGTTAGAATTACTACGCGTGACAATCTACTACTCTTAAAAATTATCCAAGAATCGAGACCATCACCAAACATATAATTTATATAACTTATAATTTACAATTTATATTTAATTTATAATTTACAAGAAAGCTGCAGATCTCTCTTTCATGATGCAGAATCGTAGCATCATTTCTCCCTGTCGTTTATAAAATTATAAAATACTATTATATGGTACAATTCGATTATTCGCTTCGATTGAACTTGAGGAAGAATTTCTCTCGTCTCATTGCTGAGTCGCCGGCTTAACGAATGCACACGCTCTCTAAAACTTCTTCACTCTCCTACACTGTGTCGCATTACATTTTAAATAACTAATCTATATACAATGCATACATACACGCCTCAGTTATCCCTCTTGTAATATCTCCCTTGGCCTTCCTCGACGTTTACCCTCGATCCGTTTCGAAAAACCGAAAGTGCAGCGATTAACTTGAAAGACAAAAAGCTGCGAGGCGCAATACTGATATCTCACGGGATACTATCAAATACTATATACACGAGACTGAGGAAACTCCTTCACTCGCTACGATGTACATAGCTGAGCGCAATCAGATCGTAGATATGAACTCACACTCGAGGATCGGCTCGATAAGCGATTTTTCGCAATTATTATTATTACAGAGCGGAAGCACCGTCTAAACTCTCGAGAAAAGTATTGTATTCCGCAAGCGTTATCCTCGTGCGAAAATTTCTACACGTTTCGTCATCCCGCTGCTCGGTCCTCATGATAAATGCGACACGATCGTATGTATAATAGACAACGATAGTGTAAGACATATCTCCGCTAGTCTTTAACAGCTAATCTTAAGTAATTTAAGGGGTGTTTTTTACCGGCTAATACGGGACGATAGAGTCTGTGGTACCCGAACTCACGATCACTTATTCTGTGCTACCACGCGGTGCGATAACCTTGAGCAAGTTCCTCACGATACTTCGTAACCCTGTTCGCTTAAGTACTAGCCACTTCACATCAATATCACAGTCTCCTCATAGATGTTAACCCCTACATACTTTAGGTTCGGTAGAATCTATCCGTTTGAGCCGGGTGAGCTTGCCGAAAATGCAAGTCCCCTTCCTGTGGAAGGTACGGTCAGTTCACTTCGTGATTCAGGTCACGATTCGATCACGAAGTGACAACTACTCTACATACCTTTCTTTTCTGTTTTTTGAAAAAAATAACAGTGAGGTGCAGCGTAATCTTGAGTGCATACAATTTCGTTTTTCATGCAGAACGACGATAATCGCTCAGTTTGAGCCTAACTCTACTCAAGATAATTAGAATATCCAATTATTAATATCGCGTGATAGACATTTAAGTGTAAGATATTATCCGTACTGTCGGGAATTCTGCTTATACGCGTACTTCGCGACATCTATTGCTTCTATTTAAACGGCTGACAAAATGTAGCCTGTTATTATCGGTGCGTGAAACTGTGTCCCGCGTCACCCGGGCGTTTGCTTATGCGTATATGCGTGTTTTATTTTTATTCTTACTGAGGTCGTTAAGGCTGTGCGCGTATATACTTATCTATCTATTAAGTATATTTTACGCTGATATTTTGTGCTGGTTCAGTTCGCTCCTATCGTCGTTGCTACTAAGCGCCAATTTGACAAGAAAAATCTATGCTCCTTCGGTCCAGTTTCTTAATAGATCTCACGGTAAACTGAGGTGCAATCAAAAAGTTCCCGAACTAATGCTGCGAGGTAAAAAAAAACCATCGATAGTACAGGAATAGAGTAAAGACCGCAGACTTTATAAGTCAATATGCCATGTAGTACAATGCTGTAATTATTGAATATAGTATTGCTCGCGGTTTTGTTCATGAATCTAGGTGCTGTGTGAGAGAGACATAAAATTGAAGCAAAGCGTATATAGCGCCAAGTTTTGCATGAAAATATCTCTCAAATATTTTATCAAGCCATTCGATCGCCAAATTAATCTATTCATTCGTGAAGACCGCAAGAGAACTAACTTGACTGTAATTTTTTTTAAATATTTGTAGGAGTTGTCCATGTTACACACAAATTTTTTTCTAGTGCCTTGTTTTTTTTTCCAAAGATTTGTAGAAGCATTTAGATAATTTTATAAATATTTAGCCTTATGGAAAATTTTCACTTACACTGTTTCAATTATAAAATAAACATCTCAAACGTTCCTCAAATGAGCAATTTTTCTTCGCGTTAAAAATGTCCATACATATAAATTTTCTAGTAATTGTGTCTAAAAGTTTGCAGAAGCATTTAACAGCTTTAACTTAACACAAAATTTGCGTTACTTCAATTTTCTATTTATCACCACAATTGCAGATAGACATTTAAATTGTCAATAAAAAAATTGTCAAACAGCATAATGCTCAATAATTGCAACATCATATTACTGGCATATTGACTCGTTCGAGATATATTTCCACGTTCTGAAACATTCTTGTACTACTGCTGGTTTCCTATACTACCCAACCATTGTTCTGATTTTCCACTTTGCGATATCAGTTCGAGACTTTTAATGACACTTTGCATACCGTTACTACCCATTCGGAAACTTGATCAGGTCGAGGACACGCGGCTCACGTGTAATACTTTCGATCGTGTATAAGGTCGGAGCGCGGGCGGACGTGGTGCCGCTATGTGCTTGAGTGGAAATACTTGGCGACACTATTGATAAACTCCTGACGCTACAACTGCACTTGGAACGCCTGGGTCGCGTTCGGCATAATAAAGGGATTCGTCGTGGTTGATTGCTGCATATTTCTGGAAGCTATTTCCGCCCATTCGACGTCGAAGGGATCAGAAGGTCCTCTGGAAGTCAGGCTCATTGCAGCCGAACCAAGCGAATGTGCCCTCGTATGAAGAGGAGGTGCTCGTCGAGGACTAACAGTTACTTGCTGTGGTGCCGGTGATGGTACAGAGCCAGTTATACTACCCAACCATTGTTCTGGTTTCGGTAAACCAGCTGCTGTGGAAAGCGGTTGTACCTGTTTGATAGAGAAACTCGTAAAAGAATGTTTCGGGATCTACGTTGAAATTTACGTTATAATATAATAAATAGTCAAGAAGCTGATTTTTATAATAGCTACAGTAAAGAATAAAATGAGAAGCTCTAAAAAAGTAAAATTCAATGCATTAAATATCTTAGAAAGCTTCCAAAGCGTAAACACGTTCTTAAAGAATATATAAGAATAATACTGCATGTCAACCAAATTTTTTTGTTTAAAAGTTTTCTGTAAAAATTACTCAAAATTTAAGTAATTTTAATAAGAAATTTTTAATGTATATTTTAGATTATCAATTAAAATTATGTATATATATAGGGTGGATCCATATATTCGTTCGCTTTTTGTTAGTAGTGCAAATTTTTTCCGAATATCTCCGGTTCTGGTTGCCTAATCGGGCAATCCAAATATGTTTTGGAAAGGTGACAGTCCGCTCTTTTCATCT